ACCCCCTGATCAGCCCTGCTCTGTGCCTGATAGGGGGAACTCCCCCAACCCCCTGATCGCCTCTGCGACTCTGTGTGTGACAGGGTGCAGCGCCCTAACCCCTTGAATCGGCCTTGTTCTGTGTGTGACAGGGTGCAGCGCCCCAACCCCCTGATCAGCCCTGCTCTGTGTGTGACAGGGTGCGGCGCCCCAACTCCCCCCCCCCCCACGGGCCCTGCTCTGTGTGTGACAGGGTAGAGCCATAACCTCCCCATCTGCCCTGCCCTGAGTGTGACAGTGGCGGCACACCAACCCCCTGATCGGCTCTGCTCTGTGGGTGATAGAGGGCGGTGCCCCAACCCCCTGATGGGCCCTGCTCTGTGCGTGACAGGGGGGAGCTCCTCAACCCCCTGATCGACCCTGCTCTGTGTGTGACAGGGTACGGAGCCCCAACCCCCCTGATGGGCCCTGCTCTGTGCATGACAGGGGGCAGCGCCCCAACCCCCTGATTGGCCCTGCTCTGTGCGTGACAGGGGGCGGTGCCCCAACTCCCCTATTGGCCCTACTCTGTGAGTGACAGGGGGGAGCTCCTCAACCCCCTGATCGGCCCTGTTCTGTGTGTGACAGGGTACGGAGCCCCAACCCCCCTGATTGGCCCTGCTCTGTGCGTGACAGCGGGTGGCGCCGCAACTTCCCTTTCGACCCGGCCTTGAGTGTGACAGGGGGCGGTGCCCCAACCCCCCAAGCGGCTGTACCCTGAGCGTGACTAGGGGTGGCATCGCAACCTCCCGATCCGCCCTGCTCTGTGCATGACAGGGGGCGGCGCCCCAACTCCCCAATTGGCCCTGCTCTGAGCCTGACCAGGGGCTGCACCTAGGGATTGGGCCTGCCCTCTGCCACCCGGGAGCGGGCCTAAGCCAGCAGGTCATTATCTCCCGAGGGGTCCCAGACTGTGAGAGGGCACAGGATGGGCTGAGGGACCCCCTCTCCCCCCCGAGTGCACAAATTTTTGTGCACTGGGCCTCTAGTGTGTGTGTGTGTGTGTATATATATATATATATATATATCAAAAGAGGCAAACAGCAAAGTGTTTTAGTCAGTTGAACTGGGGGTCTGTTGAGAGGCTGATGGGAGAGCTGTCTTGGTGAGTGGGGTGCATGTGCTACAGGGCCAAGTCTGCTGGTTGGGCTGGCAGGTTAGGAACTGAAAGCTCATTTCTAAGATTGTCCTCCACAGATATTCACAAAAGTGTGCAAAGGTAAACATAGAAGGCTGTTGTAGGAGCTCTGTACTTGGTGAATAACAGACTGGGAGCTAATTTGATGATAGAACATTCATAGCAGAATAGTACACGGATGGTACAGAGAATGTGTATTCTGACATGAGAAAGTGTTCAGGAGTTGCTTAAATAGATTTGAGCCCCTCCTTCGTTAAGTGAAGAAAGGTATCCTGAAAACAGTAGGGTGATAGCATTTTGCTAGTTTTTTACTGCATTTTCGTCATTTATCAGTTAGGTGGCTGAAGTTCAACCTCTAGTTGTTTATTCAGGAATCGCTCAGGGAGCAGAATCCCCAGAGTTCTTGTGGGAATATTTGGTTTCATACATGAACAGTAGCAATCAAATTCTTTGTCACTCTTTCTTTTTTGAAGGCCATTTTAACTACTGCTTTCTTTCACTTCTTTGCCAAATGGTCCACTTCCACATGGCTTTCCCCCTCTTTTCAATGAAGCAGGCATTAGTTCCACTTTTTTGCTTGACTCATTTCCACATATCTCCCATGAGTAGCCCCAGCTTGTTTCTCCTCATCTGGGTTTCTGAAGGTAATTTCAGATTTTCTTGCAGAGGATTCTGGCTGCTTCCCTAGGTGGCCCCCATTATAATGAGAATGAGTTTCAGGTGCTTACAGAAGGAGCACACAAATTCTGTCTCCCTCCAGGTTACCAACATCAAGAAGACCCTCAAGGCCACAGCATCTTCCTCGGCTCAGGAGATGGAGCAACAACTGGCCGAACGGGAATGTCCCCCTCACGCCGAGCAGAGGCAGCCCACCAAGAAGATGTCCAAAGTGAAAGGTCTGGTTTCCAGCCGCCACTAGGGCCGGCTGGGGCAGCTGGCACTCACCAGGCCTGGGCAAGTGGGGAGGGGACACCTAGGGCCTATTTCCTCCTCTCTCTACCTTCAGTGAGTTCCAGACCTGCCCGTCCCCTCACCAGCGCCTCCCAATCCTGTTGGTACTGTTCCAGAAGAACCGTTAACTCCTTTCCCTCGCCCACGCCCTCCTTCCCCAGTTGTTCCCTTCAGACTCAGGGGCTCCACTGATGCCATCCCAACAGGGTCAACACTGCCCAGCTTCCCTCCAGGAGGTTCTTGTCTCTGTTTAAGGGCTTGTCTCTCCCAGTTTTTCTTTTGCTCCATGTCATTTGGTCAGGCTGGTCATAGCCAGAGGCAGCTTTAACCGGCCCACAGGGATGACTGCAAAGGAGGCTCCTCTGAGTGAGGAGGGGGCACTCCTCCAGCCCCATGTACCACAGTACCCACAATGGTGCAGGCACTCTAGCCAGGTATCAAAATGCTTTGTTTTCCCTCCCCTGCCTTGTCCCTCGTTGACAGCTCCAATCAGGCCATGGAGGGATGTGATGCTGGGCTATGTTTACTCAGCCTCTTAAGCCCAGCTCAAATCTCTCGTTAGTTGGGAGCACTGGGTTAACTGATGTCTGGTATCCAAGCACCAGTGGAGGGTGCTCTGGGTCTGCTCGGTGGCAGAAGCTTCTTCCAGCTTGGTGTTCTCTGCTGCCTGACTACTCAGACTGGTTTTCGGTGTGAAGGCCCAGCTGCCCACTGGGGCTGTCTGCCAACACTTGCTCTCCCCAAATCTTTAATTACTCCTGGCTGCATCTGTGGTGGGGATAGTGGTGCTGAGGCCCAGCCTGCTGGGGAAGGACCTGTTGCTGCTTCTGTCTGTTTCTTTCCACCCCTCCTTGGCTGATGACCCAGAGCCCTCTGATGATGGCATTCTCCTGGCAAGAGAAAAGGACTTGACTAGCCTTTCTGAACTTGAACAGTTTCAGGTTATATTTTAATTTTTTTTTTGTACAGGTTCTGATTCTAATACATTTCAACATGCCTTTTTTCCCCCTCGTGTCAATATTTGTTACAGATCGCCGGGGATTTTTCACTTGCTTGGAGGGTGATGCGCGCGCGCGCGCGCGCGCGCGTGTGTGTGTGTGTGTGTGTGTTTAAGGGGAAGTGGAGGTCTGGACTAATATTAAAAGTTCACAGAGGGGAAAAACACATTTTAGAACAAAAAATAAAGTGTAGTTACTGTGTGACTGGTGTGCGGGGTTGCATAGCTGGTACATCTGGAGGAGCTGGGAGCAGGGTGCTTCATGGAAATGTCCTGCTGGGTCAGTACATGGAGAAAATCCATATCTCCTTTTCCAACATGTCCAGCAACTGCCTGCTGCTGATCAGATGTTAACAGTTACTCTCGTTTCCCCTTTAAGCTGGTCCATGTGCCCATATAACATTATGTCCAATGGGAGAGTTTAATTCCCAATGTATGTTTCATGAAACTCCTTGACAGATGCTCTGTGGAAGAGGGGTTCTGTTGTTAAATAAATTTGGCACATCCTGCATCCCATATCCTCATTGGAAATTCATTCTTGTGGTCTCAGAGAAGGCCTGGGTGAGATAGCCGGTTCCCACACTGATGTCACCACCAAATCCTTTGGATACCTTGTGGAACACATTTTGGGGAAGTTTTTAGAAACATTATATTTCTCAAAAATACCTCTCAGCTTTATAGGTTTTTCTATAACTACAGTCATATATTGCTTAATGATGGGATATATTCTGAGAAAAGCATTGTTAGGCAATTTCGTTGTTTGAACATCATAGGTGCACTTTAACAAACCTAGATGGTCTAGCCTACTGACACCTAAGCTGTATGGTAGCCTATTGTTCTTAGGTTACAAGCCCATACAGCATGGTACTGTATCGAATATTGCAGACATTGAAAAGGTACAGTAAAAATCAGGTATAAAAATAAACAGTGGTACATTTACCATGAATGGAGCTTGCAGGCCTGGAAGTTGCTCTGAATGAGTCAGTGAGTGAAGGGTGAGTGAGTATGAAGACCTAGGACATGACTCTACACCACTGCAGACTTTATAAGCACTGTACACTTGGGCTACACTGAAGTGATAGAAACTGTTTTATTTAATAAATTAACCTTGGTTTACTGTAACTTTATTTATAAACTTTTAACATTTTTAAAACTTTTTGGCTCTTTTATAATAACACTTAGCTTAAAACACACATTATACAACTGTGCTAAAATATTTTCTTTATATCTTCTACAGCATAAGTTTTTTCTGTTTTTAATGTTTTATTTTTCTTTCACTTTTTACACTTTTTTATTAAAAGCTAAGACACAAACACACACGTCAGCCTAGGCCTACACAGGGTCAGGATCATCAGTATCACTGTCTTCACCTCTACATCTTGTCCCACTGGAAGGTCTCCAGGGGCACTAACGGGCATGGACTGTCATCTCCTGGGATGTATTTCTTCTTCTGGACCGCCTCCTGAAGGACCTACCTGAGCCTCTTCTTGAGGAGGTGTCACTCTTCAGAAAGCGCTAAGATGGTATGACAGCCCCATTGTCATCAGGCGATAGGAATTTTAATCTCAGGAGATCCGTGTCCTATAAGCCATCTGTCATTGACCGAAATGTTATGCAGTTCATGACTATTCTTTCTAGACCCAGAATAGGCACACATGCTTTCAGCAAGTCTTTCATCCTTGTCTTTCCCACTAGTGAGCAGAGAGGACGTGTGGCTTAACTAGTAGAAAATGTGTGATTGTTGTTTGTCCCACGGCCCTGAGGCCTGTAGGTTCATCTCCACAGTTTTGCTGCTTCCTTCAAAATAGTAATGACAATAATGAGGATACCTTTGTAAAGTGCTCTACAGAGCGCCTTCATGGACAATAAGTCATTGAATCCCTTCCATCCAGACCATCTCCTGAGGTTGGTAAGAGTATTACTGCAGTTATCCTAATGACGTATGAGCAAGTGCAAACTCAGAGTTTCAAAGTATCCCATGATAAGTGGCAAAATGAAGACTCCTGGATCTCCTGACTTGTATGTATTGCCACCTTCTCAGTGTTACATTCTAATTTAGTCTGCTCCCCAAACTAACACTTGGCACCCTGCTTTCTCCTGTGGGGGATCATCTTGCTTTTAACTGACACCAACGCACCAGTCTGCTTCCCAAACCCACTCAGCCACTTTTTAAGGAAGCTGAAAGTACGGGGCTGGGGCTCCAGGAGTTGTGGGAATAATTGGAATGTTCTTTGCTTTGTCGGGACTCTGGGCTCTGCAGTTTTCCATCCTGCATGCTGTGACAGCAGGGTTTAGGTTTGAAACTTGCCCAGGTGTTTTACATGTAAACACAATGTTCAGAAAATGTGTCCTCATCAACAGGGATTAAAAAGAAATAATATATAAAAAGTGTACATATATTTAATATAAGGTTGGTAGTAGTGCCTATGGACTCGCTCTAGCCACCTTGGACCCTAAGCTGTCTGCTTCCTGAGGTCCTCTATGGTCTTTATTGTTTGTCCAAGTGAGAGGCATGTTTCCTACTTGGCTAACATTAGGGAAGTGGTCAAAGCCCTCAATATGGCCTGCTTTTGTGTTCCCAATTTGAGATGACCACCATTGATAGTAGGACTCTCTCTGCAAACTTTTGAGTCATAGGAAATAGGGTGGAAACCAAAAATCTAAGATGATAAATAGCTTGTGATAATTTTACATATTTGCTATTTTCTTCATCTCTCATGTGCTGGGTTGCCTGAAATCAAACTATCCAATTCTTATACTAGAGTCACTATTCTAACAGCCTGAAACTTTAAACATTTTTTTGCCGAAACCGGTTTGGCTCAGTGGATAGAGCGTCGGCCTGCGGACTGAAAGGTCCTGGGTTCGATTCCGGTCAAGGGCATGTACCTGGGTTGCGGGCACATCCCCAGTAGGAGATGTGCAGGAGGCAGCTGGTCGATGTTTCTCTCTCATTGATGTTTCTAACTCTCTATCTCTCTCTCCCTTCCTCTCTGTAAAAAATCAATAAAATATATTTTAAAAAAAACAAACATTTTTTTAATGCAGCCATCAGTTGATTTTTAAAAAATATATTTTTATAGATTTCAGAGAGGGAGGGAGGGAGGGAGGGAGAGAGAGAGAGAGAGAGAGAGAGAGAGAGAGAAACATCAATGAATTGAACCACGACCTCCTGGTTCATAGGTCGACGTTCAACCACTGAGCCATGCTGGCCAGGCCATTAGTTGATTTTTACTGGACCTGAAGGACTGTCACACGACTTAGGTATCTGAGTTTCAAATGTAGCCTATCGCTTGGTCTGTGATTGCACCTGTGTCTTCTCTGGGGATCTGCACAGCCATGAATATCTGACTGCTTCATTAAATCTTGTAGTTATGTTTGAGATTACAGGTTGAAATATACTTTTTAATATGCATAAATTTCACCTTACATCTCCTTTACATTACCTTGAGGGCATTAAATTGGTGTCCTTTGAGGCCCCTCTCCTAGGCTTGCTGATGGCTACCCTTCCTCTGTGTCCTCCCAGGACCTTTTCTCTGGTATGCATTCCTGGTGCCTCCTCTTCTTCCTATAAGGATACCAGCCATATTGGATTAGGACTCTACCTTTATGACTTCATTGAATCTTAATTACTTCTTGAAAGTCCTGTTTCCAAATACTGTGAGTGTGGAGGGGAGGTAGGGGGAAGGGTTTCAAGCAACAAAGACAGCCTCTTGGGGATCAGCTTCAAAGGAACCACCAGCTTGGTTCTCAATTTTGAAATCCCTGCCTGGTTGGCTTCTAGGAGAAGATAGGGGGCACCTCTCCTGAGAATGTGGCTGTATAAAGATTGGTTCTGGTTATAATTTTGTCATTTAGTTGTCTGATAACTTCTTTAGGAAAAACTAGAAGTGGAATGTTTGAGATTTCCAGTGGTTGGAATTTTTAAGGCCATAGATAAATGGAACCAAACAACACTCCCAGAAAGCCTTGCTGACTTACGCTCCCCCAGCTTTGGAAGCCAGAGCTTTACAATGGGGTGCCAGAGCCTGAGTGGGTTACAGAAGGTGGCCTGCTGAGGTGATCACCTTCTGTGTGTGCCCTGTTGTGCAAGCCCTGCATCCGAACCCTGTACAGCCCTAGATATTATCATTCTTTTTCATTATCACCAATCTGATTGAGGGAGTAGTAACTCCTTGACGTTATATTGTTCATTTATTTAATTACCACTGTTTTTTATATGTTCATTATCCCATCACATTTTTTCTTTTGTTCTTTCTTTGTATTTTTGCTACTGGAGCTGTTGATTTTTTTTTACAGATTTGTAAGTACTACCTAGAAACTGCCATCAGAGGGCAGCAGTGCATCAGGGTGCTGAGGGTCTGGAGCTGGAATCTGAACCTTAAAGATGTATTTTGCACAAAGGAGAGCCTGAGCCCTGAGATATTGACATCAGTGGACTCAGAAACTTAGGACAAACACAGACAAGGCGGTTAATTTCCTCTCCAAATTGAGTTGTTTGAAAATCTATGGATGGGGTAGAAACAAGAAGATGACTTTGAAAGGTCAAGACTATAGGTTCCAGAGTAGTAACTGAATTCTGTCTGATAGGAGACATCAAGGATAGAAGGCACTTTTTGTGTGGTGGTGCCACTGCAGGGGTACTAGGTTGTTACCAGAATATGGTGTGTGTGTGTGTGTGTGTGTGTGTGTGTGTGTGTGTGTATACATACGTGTATATGTGCAAATGCCCACCCCGCTCTCCAGAAAGGTAGCTGGATAGGCTTTCATATATTCCAACCTGTCTGTATTGTTCTCAGTCTCATTGGGAAATTGAAGCAGCTGAGTAGGAAGGGTCTGGGTGGTGATGCAGAAATGTGGGGTTGGGGAGGGATGAGGACCTGTGAATGCCAGACCTCCTTTCACCCTTGGAAGCTAGATAAGCCTCAGAAAGATGTGAAGCTCCTGAAATCATGTGCAGAATCATCTATGTACTTTAATCATTTTTAAAAATTTTAATTTTCAATCAAT